GTTAATCAATGTCATAAAACAATATGTGTACTAACTGTTTAATGAGAAACTATTTGTTCTGTAAACCTTCATCTAAAGTACAATAAAAAAATTAAAAAAAAAAAAAATTACGTGTTCTTTTTTTCATTCAGCTAATACAGCAGACACATCCTGTGTGCCTACCCTGAGCTCAGCTCTAGGGGTCCACTGGACAGAATGGGCAGCAGGGGCTGATGAAAGAGGTGCTAACCCAGCCTGGGGGACAGAGGGCTGCCTAGAGAAGAGACCTGAAGTGAGACACGCAGTATAAGGGGAGTCAGGAGGTACAGGAAAGTAGGAAGGGCACTACAGAAAGGAAGCCAGCATGAGGTGGGACACCCACAGGGAGACGCTGGAGACCTGGGAGGGGCCGTGGTTTCTACCTGTCCTTTGGGAGCCCCAGGGTCTGCCTTGCTCAGGCTGAGGATAGGAAGATGAAGCTCTGTGCCCTCAACTCCCACCTGCTCCTTCAGCCTGAGCAGTCCACTTTATCTGCTTTATCCACTGCGGTCCCACCCAAGACTTTGCCCACAAAGACAGTTGTGTGTGGGCCAGGTGAGCATGGGGGTTGTTTTGAGTTGGAGGGCCTAGAGAGGGGGATGCTCCCACTAACCGACTTGTTGGACAGTGGAGGGAAGGGGCCAAAGACCCTGGGCATAGTGTAGACAGGTGGTGATGGGGCCACCAGAGAGGCCATGGTGGTGGCAGGTAGCGGCAGCATCGGAGGTGGCAATGACAGAGATGGCAGGCATGGGGAGGTTGCCTGGTCCCGCAAGAGGATATGTTCCAGTTTCTTCAATTTTGGCTTCCTTCTCTTCTTTTTGGCATCTGTGACAAGAGATGCTAGTTAGTGCCTACTTCGTGCCCAGAACAGGGTAGGGTGGGGGCCAAACACAGTGGTGCAGGGTCAAGTTTTCCCACTATACCTCCAACAAGGAGGGGAGGCAGAGACTGTCACATGATAATACCTATAACCATTACTATTAGGCACCAACATACACTGCCTCACTGACCCCACCACAGCCCCAAAGACAAGGAGTACTTCTGTTACTATTGTACAAGTGGGACCAGAGACTCCAGCTGTACAAGGCACAAGCAGGACCCACACCTGGGCTACCTGATCCAAGGGCAACCTTTCTTGGGAAGTCACAAGTGTCACAGCCAAGGAGGGATGGATTTGGCCTGGAAGGGTCTGTCTGCTGCCCACCTCCCAAGCATGTGTGGGAAACTGCTAAGTTGGCCAACACCCATTTGGGGTACTCAGGCTCCCCAAAGTGAACCCACTGACTACACTATGTCTGGGGTCATCTGGCAGATGGAAAGAAGGGTCCTTCCTGTGAGGAAACTCAATGAGGAGCCAAAGAGTTGGGCTTGGGGGGGAATCTTTGAGGGGTAGGACCCTGAGGCCATCCCCCTCTCCTCTATATGCTCTAGTCTTTCTCCTATTCTCAATGAGTTCTGGCTACTTCTACTGTTCAACTGAAGTTGGAAACCACCAGCAAGGCAGTGTTAATGAGTTCCTCATACAGCCCATCAGAACAGCTTGTTCAGAATGATAATATTAACTATCACATGGAGCACTGGCCTGGTGGCTAACAGCCTATCCTCCAGAGCAACCCAGACCTGAATTCTAGTCCAGGCTCAAATGCTTATTGTGTGACCTTGAGCATGTTGGCTGACTTCCCTGTGCTTCTTCTGTAAAAGAGGAATAAATAATATCAAAGTTGCCTCTGGAGGCTGTAGTAAGAACTACGGGTGCTACTGTATCAACCACCCGATGAAATGATGTGGAGGGCTTACACTCAGCATCATGGAAAGGGGACCCTCAGCCAATCTGGGCCTCCTGAGGTGAAATAAGAACCCTGCACCACTAGTGACATGTTAACACCAAACACAAATGCAATAAAAGAACAAAACTTGAATCTCCTCAAGGTTTTCGAGCTACTGTCCAAGAAATACAGGAAGAGGAGAAGGAGGCAAACACCATCAAGAAAAGACAACAGAAGCAATCTATGAATTAGGACACCCCAAAAGACAACACACAGTTCTTCAAAAGTCAAGGAAGGAGAAAGTGAGGAAGAAGAGTCATTTCATCTCAAAACGGACTTCAATACAAGTGACCACCGGTCCTCATTTGCCCAGGGCCATTTGGCTTACACCTGCTGTACCCACATGGCTATCAATACTGCCCCTTTCACTTTCATAAGTGTCCCAATGTGGACACAAACTATATGGCTACCTGATGAAAAGAAACTTAAAACAACAGAGAGTCCCTGATGGAGAAGAAGAAAGGTGGGGTGCAGAACTCAAATTCTAGTAAGACGACCAGACTTAATGGTCTGACTGAGACTGGAAGAATCCCAGAAAGTATGGCCCCTGGATTCTCTATCAGCCCAGAAATGGAACAATTTCCAAAGCCAACTCTTCAGACAGGGATTGGACTGGACTGTGGGACATAAAGTGATACTCGTGAGGAGTATGCCTCTTAGCTCAAGTAGATACAAGAGACTAAATGGGCAGCTTGTGTCTGGAGGTTAGATGGGAAGGCAGAGAGGGTTAGGAGCTGGTTGAGTGGACATGGGAAATCAGGGGTGAAAAGGAAGTGTGCTGTTACAGTATGGGGAGAGGAATTAGGGTCACATAACAATGTATGTATAAATTTTTGTATGGGAATGTAAACTTCATGTAAACTACAACAATAAAAAAATAAAAAAACGAAAAGGAACTTAAGAAGTCCAATATCCAAACACAATGCGTAGGCCTCACTGGGTCCTGATACAACAGACCAACTGCAGAAAGAACTTTGTGGACAACTAAGATTTGACTATGCACTAAGTCACTCCTAATATGTCAGCTGTAACGAGGACATGGGGTCTTGGGTAGTGCAACAGTTAATGTGCTCAGCTGCTAACTGAAAGGTTGGTGGTTCAAGTCCACCTCAAAAGAAAGGCCTGACAATCTACTTCTGCAAAATCAGCCACTGAAAACTCCAGGGAGCACAGTTCTACTCTGACACACGAGGTCACTGTGAGTCGAGTCAACTCAACGGCAACTGATTTGTTTTTTTTTTTTAACAATGACATTGTGATTATGTAAGAACATGTCTTTACTTAGTAAGATGCATTCTTAAGTATTTAGTGGTTGAATGATAGAATGTTTGAGATTTTTCCCTTAAAATGTTTCAGAAAAAGAAATGGGAGGGGGGATGGAGACTGAAACAAGTATGCCAAGATGGGGACAGTTGCTGAAGCTAAGTAATGGCTACTTGGGTTCACTGTAGTCTATAGATTTGTGTATATTTATTTTCACAATAAAAAAAAACAACAACTCATTGCTGTAGAGTCCATTCCAACTCACCACAACCCCATGTGTTACAGAGTAGAACTGCACTCCATAAGGTTTTCTTGACTGTAATCTTTACAGAACTGAATTGTCAAGGCTTTCTTCCACAGTGCCCCTGGGCTGGCTCGAACCACCAACCTTTCAGTTGGTAGCCGAGTACAAAAATTTGCCCCACCCACAGGGACTTATATTTTCACAATAAAAACTTTCAAAAGAAACACTTCTTTGTTTTTTAAGTACCTAGCACTGGGCTAGGGACAAGTGGGCCCTGAGTTAGGTTGGCTAGTTACTTGAGCCAGGCACTGCCTGTGGCCCTTCACACACACACTCCAAGGCATCCTGTAAGGCTAGAGGTGAAAGAGGGCTCTCTGCTCAGAAAGGTGACCCCGGGTCACAGCCAGGAGGAAGCAGAGTCGGACTTAAACTGTCAGGATGTACCCCCTCCCCGGTGGATAAAGCCTGGACCCAGGGGAGGCAGATCCAACAGAGTGCGAGGGGAGCCTCACCATGGGCATAAAGGTGCACGCGGTGGATGCTCCTCTTCAGCTGCTCCAGGCGCTGGTGCATCTCCAGGGCGTCCATGCTGTTGCAGTAGTTCAGCTCCCCTTGGATGGCGTAGAAGAACTTGGCCTGTGAGGACCCAGGAGAGGCAGGGAGGGAGCCGGCGGTAAAACACTCACCTGCTCCCCAGGCTGCCTGCAGCCCCAGGGCACAACCCATGGGAATCTCCGCTGATGGGGGTGGTAGTCCTTCCCTCCCCTCTCCTTCCCCTTCTCCCACCCCTACAGGGCCGCACCCGGAGGAAAGAGAGGAGCCCACGCTGCTCGCACTCATCCTGCTTGCCCTTGCGCACCACCCGCTCGGCCAGCGCCGGGTTGCGGTCGATGCTACGGAAGAGGCGGCGTAGTGCGCGCTCCGTGCAGGTGGTCGCCTGCCTCTCGAAGTCCTCCTCAGAGATGAGCTGGCAGAAAGTCACGCTCTGAGGGAACTCGCGGTCGAACTCGTCCAGGGCCTCCATCCAGAGGGCGATGTGCAGGCGGAGCAGAGTTAAGGCGGGACTCCCGGGAAGTGCTGTAGCCGGGCTCCCGAGGGCCGAGGGCCCACCCCCTGGGTGTCACCACGAGCGTCGGGGGACCTGCCACGGCAGCGCGGCGGAATTCGAGGCCCGTCCGGGCACAGGCTGCCGGGACGTACCCGCTCTCCCCACAGGCGTCGAGCGACCAAAGCCCCCTCCGCGCCTTCAACCACCGCCCCGCCCCAACCGGCTCCAGCCAATCGCCCCAGAGACCAGGAGCAGGGCCCAATCGCCGCGGAGGCCGGGGGCGGGGACCAACTCCCCGGGAACCAATCCCTGCGCGACTGTAGCACGTGACAATGCCCACCGCTCTGGGCATGCGCCCTCGCGCCTTCTAAACGCTGCCTGGGCGAAGGCGGCTGAGGTGGGCTGGGCTGTAGTCAGCTTGAGCCCATGAGGGGTTTCGTCAGGGTAGTGGTCATCGGCCCAACTTGTCCAGCCCCTCAACTCGTCCAGCCCCTCCACGGCCCTCTAGGCCCTCCTCGGCCCGGGCTACATCCCACAACCAAGAGGCGCCCCTCCCATCTTCTCCTCATCCTGGCAATGCCCCAAAGACGTTACTGCCCCCCTTCACTCCTTGACACCCCCCCCCCCACTTTCCACCCTCTTACTTTCCTGACCTAGTCTCCAGCTTTAAACCTGCCTTTCCCCAGCTTGTCTTCTCCTCCTCTTCACAACCATTTCTTGGGTCTATACTCGCAGTAGCCTCTTCAGTCGCATCTCTGGTCCCCCCTCAGTGTTCTTTTCCTCATGCCCCTCAAATGAGTCTTCAGTGTCCCATCTTCATTTACCCACTCCTAGGTCCTGGTTACAACCCAGAAACTGACTTAACCATCCCACACCTGCGACCTCCCTGGAGCTCTAGATCCAACTGTCCACTAGAACTTTTCTCCGGCATCTCAAACTGAGCGCATCCAGATTCACACACAGCCTCTTACCCCCAAAACCTGCTTCTCACCCCCCACCTACCCGGCCAGCTGTTGACCCCACCATGAACCCCACCCACGAAGTGGAGGGTGCATCCCGAACTGTCCCCCCCCCTCCACTCCCTACCCCCATTAACCAGACTTTTCCCACAGCCAAACCACCAGCCCTCTGGACCCAAGAGGTAGCATTTACCTCCTCCAGCTCTTTGAGATCAGAGAGCAAGGTAGAGAACTCAGAGAGGACAAAGTTGTGGAAGCCAAGGAGGAACGTGGTCACCTCTGTGCATCTTGCCAGGGCAGGCAGAAGCTTCATCAGATGCACCTGGGTTCAAGTCTCTGTTCTGCTTCCTTCCCCTTTTGTGACTTACAAACTGGAACTTAAAAAAAAGTTATATATATGTTGCTGTTCTTAGGTGCCATCTAGTTGATTCTGACTCATGGTGACCCCATATGTTACAGAGTAGAACTGCCCCACAGGGTTTTCATGGTGGCACAGTGGTTAAGTGCTCTCCTGCTAACCAAAAGGTCGGCAGTTCAAACCCACCAGCCACTCCAGTGGAGAAAGATGTGGCAGTCTGCTTCAGTAAAGATTTACAGTCTTGGAAATCCTATGGGGCACTTCTATTCTGTCCTATAGGGTCACTATAAGTCGGAATCAATTCAACAGCAATGGGCTTGGTTTTGGTTTTGATTAATCTTTAAGGAAGCAGATCGCCAGGTCTTTCTCCTGCGGAGCATGCTGGGTGGGTTCAAACCACCAACCTTTTGGTTAATAGCCAAGCACTTAACCATTTGCACCACCAGGGCTCCATATATATATGAAACCAAACCAGTTGCTGTTGAGTCTATTCTGACTCATGCTAATGCAATGTGTCAGAGTAGAACTGTGCTCTACAGGGTTATCAGTGGCTGATTTTTTAGAAGTAGATCACCAGGCCTTTCTTTCGAGGTGCCTATGAATGGATTTGAAATGCCAACCTTTCATTGGTAACCAAGTGCTTAACCATTTACACCACTCAATGACCCATTAGTATGCTTTTTCACACAGGACAAGCACCTTCTGAGGAGTCAATCAGACCTGACTGGCCTCCTCACCCCCCTATTATATATGCTGATAGCTGTACTTCACACTTTATACATTTATTCATGTTTTAAAAAAGTGTACTGTGTCCCTGCTCTGTCTCTGCCCGCAGGGGTACCCAGTCTAATGTGTACCTCAGTCCTAAGGACAAGATTCAGATCCAATAGATTCTGCTAGGGGGGACATTCAATTGATACAGCAAAGCCCAGGGGAGGCTTCTACCAGGAGGAGGAGACACCTGAGTTCACAAGCCTCCCTGGGAATGGGGGCCTCCAGCCAGTGGGCACAGAACATGCACGGGGTGAGGTACCTCACCACTCAGTACGAAGAGTGGAGTTGGGCGGAGGAGGAGAGGAGCATGTGTCTATTACCCTTCATCCTCCCCATGGTGCCAGGGTGTCTACCCCTAAGGAACAGGCTTGAATGGTTGTCACTGGACACATGGAAGCCTTTTGCATTGTGTGGGGTCCTTGGTGGACAGGAATCCTGGGTGTGATGGTGGAGGTGACCAGGCTCCTTGGAAATTCAGCTCCAACTCCTACCCATTCAAACTGGGGGGGAGGGTGTGCTGACCACCCTACAGTCCATCCTGTAGGCCCAGGACATTATCTCCCTGCAAGAGAACAATCTGGCATGGTTGGTAGGCACCATCTGCAGGCTTCATATCCTAAGTCCACCCCAGAGAGTGCCACTCTTGCTGACTCAGGGGTGGCTGAACGTTCTGCCTCCTGGAAGGCCTGTCTACCTAAGGAACCTGCCTCACCTTTCCCTAGATCCCCACCCAGGAGAACATCCTCTCCTGGGCCTGGCCCTTCTCGAGTCTTTAAGGAGAACTGAGTCTGGTTCACCTCAGGGCTGAGCTGGGCCTGAGCCAGGCCCTGGTTGACCCTCCAAAGTCAGAAAACCAGTTACTGTGTAGTTGATTCCAACTCATGGCAACCCCATGTGTATCACAACTGTGCTCCATAGGGCTTTCGATGGCTGTGATCTTTGGGAAGTAAATTGCCAGGACTTTCTTCCAAGGTGCCCCTTGGTGGACTTGAATTGCCAACCTTTCAGTTAGCAGCTGAGCGCTTAACTGTTTGTATTATCTAGGGACTCCTTCAACCTAAAGCAGTGGGCCTCTGTTTCTCCACAAGGCCCTGTCCCGGCCTGGAGCCCCCAGTCTTACCTGGGGAGCCAGTGTAGAAAGAAACCCTTCAGAACAGAGCTTCTCTGAATCCATGGGTTCTGCCTCTGCATCCATGCAGCCACAACACAGACTTGGAGACAAACCTGGAAGATCCATCTGGATTCACACACCCTGGGGGCCTAATCAGCCCAGACACTTACCATTTAGGTACTTCCCTTTCCTCGGCTGGGAAATGGAGTGAGGCGGCAAAACTCCCTCTGTCCCAGGCACTGTGGGTGGCGGGCTGGGCCTGACCAATGCCCTTTCATCATTGCACTGCTTCCCAGCGGCCCACAGTAGTGCAACAGGGAAAGAGTGTCGGGCAGGCCTGCCAGCGCCTCCTCTGAGAGGTGGTGGGCAGTGGGGATCCAGATCTGGAATGCAGGCTCGGTGGGGAGGGGCCTGGGTTTGGGGGAAGGGTGCCCTCTGACCCCAGAGGCCCAGAGCGGGCCAGGATCTCAAGTTTCCACGGAGAAGAGAGCGTTCTGAGCAGGGGCAGGGGAGGGCCTGCAAGCCCGAGAGGCCTGGGCTGGGGAGGGCTGCTAGGGGGATCCCCAAGGCTGGTCGCGGATGCTTTGACAATATTATTGCACTGCTTCTCAGCGCACAGTAGTGCAACCTCGTCAGAGCACGTGCGGCCAGAAGGGGGGACCCCACCTCCTCCATTAATGGCAGAGCGGGAAGCTCAAACAAGATGGGGCCTGTTCAGGAGATGGGGGCCAAAGCAGGAGTTCCCAGCAGAGCTGCAGTCCTTGCGGGAACCTTAGGACCCCAGGGCACGGGGGCCCTTACCAGCACGTTCAGGACTGCCATCACAAGGGGACCTGGACCAGCATCTTGTAGGACAGATACACGAGGCTGGAGGGTAGTTCAGCCCCGGGGCAGGAGCGCATGTCCAGATGAGAGACAGAGCACACACGCAAAAGCGAGGAGCCGCGCTCCCGCCGCATTCCAAACCCACTTTCTAGAAGAAAGCAGGTAACCCCACCCCGGGATGACGTGCCTCTGGTGGACTCAGGCCTCTGACCCCTCTTTTGAGAACAGTGTTTTGTCTTAAAACAGATTTTAGTACCCGGTGGCCCAGAGCGGAACATAAGAACGGAAATCCCAATTGCACCCCTTACACACCGTCTCGCCAGAAACTCCCTTTTTGCCCGCGATTGTCACGCACCTTGGATCCCGCTACTCATGCGGCCGGATACCCCTTCCGCCTACGGACAGGGCAGGATGCGGAAAGTTCGCAGGACCTGGGTACTGCCCGGCCGTCCGCCCCCTTGCGCCTGGTGGTCCCAGCGCGGACGACTCGGACCTCGTGGCGCCCTGGGTCCGCGGGCTCCATCTTTAACCCGCTGACAAGCGGCGAGGCCGGGCCCTGGTTTGTTAGCATAGCCCCGCGCTCATTGGCCGGCGCCGGGGCGGGGCTGCGACCCACGCACGCCCATTGGCTGAGCCCTGAGCGATTTCAAAATAGCCTCAGGGCTGCGATTGGCCCCGGCGGGCGGTCTGGGCTCCGTGGGTTTAACAATGAGTTCTACAAACACGCTCTCCCCATTCATAACTTATCAAAGGGGCTTTGCCCGCCTTTTCTCTCCGCCAATCTCGGCGAGTTTTCCAGCCGCACTGGCGAGAACAGTGGAAAGAGCGGGGCCGCGGGGCTGAGCCCACCCGGGAGGGAACCGCGAACCTTGGGAAATGCCGGGACCCAGGCCTAGCCTTCCGCTGAGCGGGTACGCAGGCTGCTTCACTTCGCGTCCTGAACTGGCTA